CCCCAAAACCCCAAAACCCCAAAACCCCAAAACCCCAAAACCCCAAAACCCCTTATTAGAATCTTTAAAATGAACTATCTAAAATATAAGCATATTAAGCTCCATGAATACAAGCATGATTCCTTGATTTTGATTCATTAATGTAATCATTCATAATTTCTTAAGTATTGATGAAAAGGTAGTTTACTTTTATCCAAAAATATCCTAACCAAGATTGTATCTTAAGAGGCAGAAACTTTCGTATGGGTTACTTCAATCAGTAAGTTATGAATAATATGTTAATAAAATTATAAATCGGAACTTGAATAACATCCCTAATATATCTGTAGTAAGACTTTGAATGAAATCTAGAGAATCTCTTTCGGGGATAATTTCTGAACTCCTTCGATTACAGGCCGCTTCTGAAGCACGACAGTTCTATTAATAGCTCCACTAAAGTTCTCATTGGGGCTATTTCTTCCATGAAGTTTTTGAGTGATTCGTGTTTGAAGGTCTAAGTTACTCATGCTAAATTTTTCAGCTGGTTTTCAAATATTCTTCTGAAATTTAATAGTGGCTTTAGGACTGATTTGTAGACTCCTCAAAGATTTCACTGAGTTTTGGTATATTAATCGTGTTCTTGAATTATTAATCTTAGATCTATTAGGCTTTGAGCATTTAATTTCTCTCCTTTTCTGATCAATCTGAGGCAGCCCTTCCTCCTCCAAATGATCATTCAGAGCTTGGATCTTCTTTACATCAGGAGAGATATATCGTGGTATTGAGAGCCTTTTCCATGCTGGTGAGATGGACTTTATTTTTCTTTCTTTTAAACTTGATTGAATCCGTTGCTCCTCGTTTGGTGTGATTTTAAACTCATTTCGTTTGCTTCCTATTTTAAAATTCCTTAATGATATCTTCGAAACTCTGTTCTTTGAGGCAACTCCAATAGCATCTATCACAGACACAATTCTTCCAACGTCTTGCACACACCTTTTGAACCCCTTACTTGGAGGACTCCTTTCAAATTGCAGTTTCAAGTTAGGCAGTCTTCCTGGGCTCTTACAGATAGACTCTTTGTTGAGCTTTCTTCTAGGTTTTCACACCGGGGAATGGTCGTTTGAAGTTTCTGAGATAGCAGTGCTAATTTGAAATTTCCTTGTTATAGATTTATTTAGAAGAAGCTAAAATTGATGAAAATATCTTACCTCAAGAGGATAGGTTGAGCCTAGATATAGACTTTCAGTTTCTTGTCGAGCCAACCTTGTAGGTAACCTTCTTTTTATAGTTCTTCCTTTTTATTGGTTTAGCATCACTAAATTATGGTTTGAGGTTAATAGATAATTATTAAAATTTGGAAAGTGTAAAAATCAATGAATCTAAATTTATTCAGGTTGATAAAGAAAACACTGAACTTACATGATAAGATTATGAAGTTTGGTAAGCCTTCCTATAAAGAATTAGCCTTGGTCCTATTATTCGCTTACTCTGAAGTCTACTGCAATTTGACTGACTTTTATCAGTTTTGTTACATTTCTCGGTTTTATATCTTTCCTGCATATTTTTAAAAACGACTATTTTATCGTTCAAGTTCTGTAGCTGTCTGTAGAAGAAGGTCTTTGTATCTTTCCTCGTTCTGAGTTTAATAGCATTATTTTAAATTATCTGATGCTTTCTGATAAAACTCTATACAAAAGATATTATCCATACTACGAAGGTTGATCAAAATCAGAAGTTAAGGTTTACTCTTTAAGAGCTTATCAACAATCTAAATATGCATGAATCTTTACCTAACTCAACCAATTTTTGAATCTCTTCTTCAACCTTGTCCTTATGACTATCCCACTCTTCACAGAACTTAAGCTCCTTCTGATGGCATCTAGGTTCCATGAATTTGAGGAATATCTCTTTGTTGGATAAACTCTGTGAGTTCATTATGATTAATGAATTTCAATTATTTATTATCAAAATGGGGTTTTGGGGTTTTGGGGTTTTGGGGTTTGGGGGTTTTGGGG